ATTATCAACTTGTAATGTGGAATTTGCAAAGTTTCTTGCTCAAATTATTAAATTAAGGGCACATTTCCCTGATTATACTATAAAGAGAGTGAGACTTGATAATGCTGGTGAATTTACTTCACAAGCATTTAATGACTATTGTATGTCTGTAGGAATTGTTGTTGAGCATCCAACTGCTCATGTACACACACAAAATGGTTTAGCTAAATCACTGATTCAACGTCTCCAACTATTAGCTAGACCATTGATAATGAGAACCAAACTTCGTGTTTCTGTTTGGGGTCATGTAATCTTACATGCTGGATCATTGATACGCATGAGACCAATTTCATATCATGTTTATTCTCCCCTACAACTTGCTTTTGGTCAAGAGCCAAATATATCCCATTTGAGAATTTTTGGGTGTGCAGTATATGTCCCCATTGCACCACCACAAAGGACAAAAATGGGTCCTCAAAGAAGGTTGGGAATATATGTTGGTTATGAGTCAATCTCTATTATAAGATATCTTGAACCTTTAACAGGTGATTTTTTACAGCACACCTAGCTGATTGCCAATTTGATGAGGCAAATTTCCCATCATTAGGGGAGAAAAGAAGATTATAGAAAATGATGTTTCATGGCATGAGCCTTCTTTATCATATCTTGACCCTCGCACAAAGCAATGTGAAATGGAAGTTCAAAAGATAATGCATTTCCAAGAAATGGAAAATCAATTGCCTGATGCATTTACTGACACAAAAAGGGTGACTAAATCATATATACCATCTATCAATGTTCTAGCTCGAATTGAAATTCCATATGGACATTCTGATGATAAAGTCACTCAATAGTCTAAAACACGCCTAGAGCGTGGAGACCATTTGGTTCGAAGGATAAGAACCCACGAAGACGAAGAGGAGTAGAAAATACACTAGATCGTGAGGAAATTGTTCCTGTAGAAACACGAAATATCAAAATTCTCCCAGGAAAGGAAGATGTTGCACTAAATTATGGTCAAATAAATAGAATATATGACCAAAATGAAACCGATAATATAAGTGCGAAATTTTCTTATTTAGTTGCATCAGATATTATGAATGATGATGTCGAACCACAAGAGAAAGGTTTTTGGGGCTATTATCCTCACACCTAGAGTTGTGAAACCATTAGGGTATAAATGGATATTCGTACGAAAAAGAAATGAGAAAGACGAAATTGTAAGGTACAAGGCTAGGCTAGTGTCTCAAGATTTCTCCCAAAGACCTGGAATTGACTATGAGGAAAGGAAACTTATTCACCGGTAATGGATGCAAGCACTTTTAGGTATTTAATCAGCTTGACAGTCTCTGAAAATTTAGAGATGCGCCTTATGGATGTTGTTACAACTTACTTATATGGATCACTTGATAGTGATATCTATATGAAAATCCCTAAAGGATTTAAAATGCCTGAAGCATTAAGTGCAAAACCCAAAGAAATGTATTCTATAAAATTACAAATATCTTTGTATGGGTTAAAGCAATATGGACGCATGTGGTACAATCGTTTAAGCGATTATTTGACAAGTAAAGGTTATAAAAATAACACTATTTGTCCATGCGTATTTATTAAGAAAAAAACATTTGGGTATGTGATTATAGCGGTCTACGTTGATGATCTAAACATCATTGGAACGAATAAAGAAATCGAAGTGACTGAACTTTTAAAGAAAGAATTTGAAATGAAAGATCTTGGTAAAACCAAATATTGTCTTGGTTTGCAGATTGAGCATATGTCTAACGGAATACTTGTGCATCAATCAAATTATACAGAAAGAGTCTTGAAATGTTTCAATATGGCCAATGTCAATCCTTTAAGCACCTCAATGGTTGTTAGATCATTAAATATTGACAAAGATCCATTTCGTCCTCGCGAAGAAAATGAAGAAGTTCTTGGTCCAGAAGTACCATATCTAAATGCAATTGGGGCTCTTATGTATCTTACCAGTTGTACTAGACCTGACATTTCTTTTGTTGTAAACTTGCTAGCAAGGTTCAATTCATCCCCAACAAAAAGGCATTGGAATGGGATTAAGCATATTTTGTAATATCTTCGAGGAACTACTGATTTATGGTTATTTTATCATAATGATTCAAAAGAAGGTTTGATTGGTTATGCAAATGCAGACTATTTATTTGATCCTCATAAAGCTAGATCTCAAACTGGATACGTATTCATGAACGGAGGCACCACAATTTCTTGTCGCTCTCAAAAGCGAACACTTGTCGTCACATCCTCAACTCATGCCGAAGTAATTGCACTAAATGAAGTAATCATGCTGAAGCTAGTTGGACCTTCATTTAAGTGACACCGCAATTTCCTGGTGCTCTCAAAAGCAAACACTTGTCGCCACATCCTCAAATCATGCTAAGTGTTCAAGAATCCTCTCAAATCTCCTTCTTTTATTTTCTAATGTTTTAGT